CTTTTTCTCCCTGTTCCCTCCCCACTGTCCCTGTCGTCACATCTCTGTGTGACAGCACATCACTGCAGGTCGACATTTCAAACCAGGAGCCCTGCTTCTGTAAGGGACGGCTTTGAAGTCCAACTCTCATACCTCATCCGGGAGTGACACACGGCCGGCCACCAACTCCCCTTCGCCGAATATCATGTGTCCTCACACGTACGCCTACCCGCATCCCCCTGCACGAGCCTTAACGGGCCGCACTGCAGGTTAATGTCACGTTCAGCGGCAGAAACCGAGAGGGATTCTCGCAGCGCGCTGGAAGGAGACGCCTGTCAGACTGAGACGTGGCTTTCACTGAACACGCTGCTCAGGCTCTGACCTTTATTTTACAGTCTGTATAAAATACCTAACAGTCCTCTCCAGAGCAACAATATAAGTCATAGGACATTAATGGGATGTAATATAGCCTGTAAGATTGCGGGGAACAAACATCACAACAGTTAAATTGACAACCTAACTGAGTCTTTAGTTAAAAGCAGCACTTTAATTACCTCTTTTCAGGACGGGAATAAGATGCACAGATAGATGTGAGAGCTCTCCTGTTGCCAACGAGCCCAATAACCGTATGCTGCGATCCAGCAGCAACACAAACACCCTTACGGGTGCGACAGCTGGAAGCAAGCAGATGTCTGCAGGCTCAGGATTCAGAGCCGTGGTTTTGTGTGCGGTTCAATATACATTTCAATTAATACTTTTATGTTAGTCAGCAGACGTAACCTCCTGAGATGAGGGCACACCGCTTAGGCACTCTTCATGATGATCCATGGCTTTGCGTAGCAGCCGGTGATAAAAACAGCGAAAGAAGGTCATAAACGCATGTAATACATTATAATCTAACCCTTGCTGTACTTTGCTGTGCGCGAGTAAAAACCCTGTAGTGCCTTTTTGGAATCAACCCTTTTCAAAGTGTGCCGTAGGATTCACCCCATACGCCTGGGTAGAGATAGATTTCCAAATACAGTTTACTTCTCGGCGTGCCATTTAGATGTAATTTAACGTAGGAATGCAGCGGCATAACACGATCACGTCATGGGATATTGCTCAGAAAAGCAAGCAGAAAAATAAGAGTGTGTGGAATTCAGGGATTTGAAGTGCATCACAAGGATTGACTGTTACCCCGTCAAAAAGTAATGATCTTAGTTTGTCTTTAGCCTTGGTCCTGCTGTGATGGAATGAGCTTCTTTAGGATTACTAAATCCCTCTGAGAGTAGAAATCTAACCCCTGTAATACAGCCATAAAACCGGTTTTATTGTGTGGACTTGTACGAATGCAATGTAGTTATAAATGTAACAATAAACACAATCCAAACCTTTGAGTGTTTAAAGTGAATATTAAGTAACACATCTATTTCCTGCACAACTATCCTTGCATAGTGAAGAAATCCTAAATCTAACAGACAGGCACAACATTCTCTCATAATTTTGTAAGTTAGAGGCTCATAATGATAACTAAAAAAATAATTCATTGAAAATGCTGCCTCTCATTCTAAGCAACAAGTCACTCCCATGGTGGATGTACCATGATTCACCGCACTTACAGTATGACACCCAACTGCTATTAGTAAGCTAAAGCTGTAGCTGATGGATAAGCATAGAATTCAACACTCAAACAATCACACTCAGTACCTCCCCTCCTCCCATCTCACATAAACACACAAACAATTCTGGGTATGACAAGAAGAAGAGGGGAAGGGTTTGAGGTGAATATCCAGTGCGAGAAACAGAAACGCAGTGGGCACAGAATTGGCACCATGCACATAAAAGCAGGGAAATCGAAACAATTAAACTGAAAGAGGCGACATGAAAATGTTGCGCGAGATATGGTAGGAAAAGGCCATATGTGCAGTGAAAAGCCTACTAAACATTCAAGCTTTGAGCATCCATAGTCTTTGTGAAGACATCACTGCCTGCTTCATACCTTATGCTACCCTCATCTAAAATAAGCTCTCAGAAACCAGCAGATGATAATAACAGCCAATCATCAGCCTTTTCTATCAAAAATGCATTTTTCTGCAAAGACAATTAATACATACGTTTTTGCTCTTAGTTCCTATTCCAGCACTGTTCCGTTTCCAATCTAAAATCGCTCCCTCTAAAATTTTATGTCCTCTGAAACATACATCACTAATACAACGAAACCCAGGAAAAAGCTTATTTCACCACATAATCGCCATGCCAGATTTTTATTTGTATCACACTGGTGACAGAATAGGGATTGTGGTATTAAGTATTATATAGCACATAACATTCCAGGTTTCTCATATTTTATTACGTACAGTATAGTGTAATAACACAACGTATCATCTGTTGTACAAAACACTTGCAGACAGACGTGCCTTGACACCATTGAAATGCAGTGGATAGCATTGGGCTCATAGTACACAAACAAAGGATTTTTTTACTAAACAATTTCCTTCTTTATCGTCCTCTGCTTTTCACTGCACATGTCACAATGCCTGCTTTCAACTCAGAGATGTTGCAAAATGATCTCTTTGTCTTTTGTGGAAAAACAATGCAGTACTAAGTGTTCTGTATGCTCAAGTAGACTTGTTTTTGAAATGTCCCTGCTGAGAGTCGGCTGCATTGAACATGAGAGCTAAGATTGTATTGGGGTCAGAAATGTACAGGTGAAAATGTAATGTATCTTTGAACACCAGTTCCTCCTTTTATAAAAGGGTTTATATCCACAAATTCTGTGTTGCTTAGAGGAACTGATGCATTTAGTAAACGTTTACATCCATTCAACAGCTTTTATCTAAAGTGATGTACAATTGAGGAAGCTTGTCAGCCAGTCCCTGGAGCAACTGGGGTTAAGGGCCTCACTCTGGGGGCCAAAGATGTGATCACTCAGCCACAAGATATCAACTGGCAACCACCTGATCAGGGATACAGGTCACACACTACCTCAGTGCACTAGTTCTAGTTATGCACATATCATGGCTGTTCTATCTCACTCACACCTCCTGTACTGTATTTTCACATTTGTTTGTTGTGTATTTATTTGATTTGCCAGGATCTATCCATCCATCCATCCATCTATCTATCTATCTATCTATCTATCTATCTATCTATCTATCTATCTATCTATCTATCTATCTATCTAGCTAGCTAGCTACATACATACATACAATATATATAAAATGATTTTTCCCTTTGGATGAACAATACAGTTCTATCTCGTCTTACAGGTAAACCGCAATCAGTGTCTGTGCAGAAAACTGCACCATTCCTGAGGTTCATTAGCTTAATCAGGACATAGTATAATTGGCTACATAAATAACTATGCAACAAATAAACTAATCAAAGAAAATCTGGGTAGCTCCTTCCTATTTAAATGCAAAGAAACCTAATAATTTGATGTTAGCTACACAGAGCATGATGATACTTAAATTTGTAAAAAAATCAGCTTGATGATCCTGCGGATTTGCTGAATATTCCCTGTATGAATAAGTCACAAATCAGAAATTTTACCTTTGGCTAAAACCTAAAATTGCCCACCACCAAAATGATGTTTTCCCTGATTGGGGGGGGGGGCATCCTAATTTGGTGGAACTTTTCCATGTATGGACTTTAACAACAGGTGGCGCAGTGGTGCAGTGGTTAGCACAGTGGTGCAGTGGTTAGCACTGTTGCCCCCCAGCAATGGGAGCAGGGTTCCATGTGTTCGCCGTCCAAAAACATACTGAGGTTAAATGGAATCACCAAAGTGTGCACGTGTGAGCAAACGGTGTGTGAGCGTGCCCTGCGATGGATTGGCTCCACCCTGGGCTGTTCCCTGCCTTGTGCCCATAGGACCCCCCATGACCCTGAACAGGACAAGAAATGACCAAAACTGGATGGACTTCAACAGCTTGTGATTATCAAACTTAAGAGTTTGAGATTTGGCATGTTAAATGGGTGTCATATACTCTGAAGCAGCAGCGTATATAAAAAGTGTAAACTATAGTATGATGTAAGTGAGGTACGCGCAGGCATATGTGTGCTGCATCTTCCTGAGCTATCTGCCATTCATATATATATATATATATATATATATATATATATATATATATATATATATATATACACAAAGTTCATTACTGAGCCCCTTCACCTTTGGAAGAGGAATTCGAAGCTGGACCAGCACAGAAGCTAGAGGTAAATCTCACGGTCATTACAGAGAGACCCAATTCACTACAAGCACACTAGATCTGCAGATACAGACCATTACATTTTGTGCGTCCTCACTCGCAGAAACATTCCAAACCTTCCCGGCTGGAGCTGATTTCACAGAGCTCCGTTTTTTGCTAGATCAGCTGGGTTGGCATCTATGGTATGTCCTGGGATAGACGAAGCGGGACAGACCGCCACACTCACATAAAGATCAGCAGCACGGTGGTCTACAGACACATTTTACATCACACCAGTAATGCTGTAATCAAGCACTAGTGCCATAGACTGCTTTACACTGCAGATTTGCAACTTATAGTCAGTATTCAAATGAACATGTCTGGCCCAACGGTTTAGTATTCAAACAATGAAAACCTCATTGCTTTTTTGGCAGAGCACTCCAGGTGTGCATTTGCATTACAGTATGTCTGTTTATTATCTGCTGCATAGTACAATACTGACAGTTGTGCACGATGCAATTCCGTTCACCTTAGCGCGTGCTGCTGATGCCGCTGCGATTGACTGAGGTTTACTGGACAGCGCTGGACACACGCTACACCCCACCGAAGACTATATTTAACACACTTCCCCCATATCACTAATTAAACCATTTGCTAACAAAGAAACATCTTTTTCGTACGGTTACAGCCTGATTAGATTAAATCAGTTTTACAGAAGGCATCTTAACTGGGCTGCTACTACATCCTATATATTTTACGTACATCAATTGCAATTTGACTGCTAATTATGTATGCAAATCGTATACTCACATGTAAAACACGTTATAAGGTGAAATCCAGAAAACTCACCTCTTTTGTGTTAGTTGAAGGAAATTCCAGGTACATATATTATGCGCTTCGGGTACTTCCACTGAATCCGATTCACGGTTTTCAGGACAGCGGCTCCTCGGAACCAATTATGGTCAGAATAAATGATTCCGTTTTTTGCATGATGTATAGGTAGTTCATGCTAAATATTTCCACTCTACTGACGTGTTCGTCTGTCTAGTTAGTATGCAGCGTCGTCCTTTTTTATTTTTTATTTTTATCATTATTTGCTAGGCTGTCTCAGATATCCCACTTGTCCTAAACAATTCACACACGGAGAGGTATCCCACACAAATCACTCAGAGCAGATGCAGGGAGTACTAGCGACAGGCAGCGAGGGAGAGCCGGAGCTACTTATGCAGCGTGGTAACTATGCAGGCAGCGGGTGGGACTGCGGTCAGGCTATCCGCGCTTTGCCGATACAGTCAAATCATCCGCGCTTACAATGTGAGGTGTACGCATAGACGTAACATTACGGTATCAGCGATCGCGCATAGGAAAATGGTTAACGGTTAGTAGTCATACGTATGAAGTAACGGATGTACTAAAGCACGCAGAAATCCGTAGTTTCCTATAATGCATAAACAAGCCTTATACGGTCTGACAGCTAATTCCCTAGGCTATTTCCAGACTGTTACTTTTACTGTACTTTTTTCAAGTAAATGCACTCTGAAGTCCATCGTTTTTATGCGCATTCAGGTAAATGAGCCAAGTTTTACAGGCCAATTCTCATAATTTTCCTGTAATGCACAAACGACTCTTATACCATTTGAAAGATGCAGTCCTGGGATACTCCCAGACAAAATTTGGTCAACTTTTACTATAGCATTTTCAAGAAAATTCACTTTGTCTGGGAGTAGCCTAGGAGTGCGTCTTTGAGAAGGTTTAAGGCTTGTTTATGGATTATGAGAAAATTCTGAGAAATTGCCTGTCAAATGTAACTTATGTAGCAAAAAAAAGGGATTTTAAAGTCCATTTTCTTAAAAATGGTACAGCAAACAGCGAGCAAATTTTGTCTGGAAATAGCCTAGGACCGTGCCTTTCAGACTTGTTGATGCATTATGGGAAAGTAATTATTTTATTGTATTTTAGTATGTCCTTTACTTCATACTTATGTCTTGAACCATTTTCGTAAGCGCGACCACTTGGAGTATAAATTTTATAAGATCGATCTGGTACCGTAATGTTACGTCTATGCGTGCACAGTACATATTAAGCGCGGATGATTTGACAGTGCATCGGCAAAGCGCGGATAGCTTAACCACAGTCGGGGGGATATGGAAAGGAGGAAAACAGATGCGCTCAGAGGACTTGTCTGCGTGTGTTTAATAATAATAAAGAAGGTAAGCATGTGTGGCGAAGACGCGCACGAAACCAACTAGCGATCTATGGTTTCCTTAAATTTATGTTTAGTTTTCCGAAAAGGGGCCACGTTATTTGTGGAAGAAGCACGCGTCTTAATTATAAGGAACGGTAATTTGCAGAAATATTGCTAAAAAAAGAGGAAATATTGCCACTTGAGATTTCAGAGTTCAGAGGCGCATTCGTGTTGGTGTCATAGTGCAGTAATAAACGCTCAATCGGTGTAACCCTACAGAAATCACCCGATGCGAGCAACGACTGAAAAGCTCGTATTTATAAGAGTACACCTTTCGTCCCTTAAGATAGGCCTAAACACATCAAATGCATTTTTTTTTGTAAAATATGATGGAAATAAAGAAAATCATAATGTAATGTGTTTATTATGGAGATGACTGTAAGTCGGGAAATAACCGGCAAATTAAACGATTATTTGCAGGTAAGTCAGCTAAAAGTAGAGACAGCAGCGCTGAGCACTCGCTAAGGTGACCTTGACGATCCTCGTGTCCAAACAGGGTCACACATTCAGAACAAAGATTGGGGACGCACGCGCTCACAATCTGATAAATCTCTTGGAGCTGAAACTAATGAACTCATTCGTCTGTAGGCAGCTAACATGAGAAGAATACACAGTATCTGCTTCAAAAAATTCGATTAAAATACACCTTTCCTACTAATGAGAAGGTGAGCTAGCAGTCAACTAATTTGATATATGATCTCCGTCCACCTAGGTCCATCCACATTTAAATGAAAACACAAAATTATAGCGTGCAAAGTGTTTTTAGATAGGATTGTTTTGTTGTCAGAGAGTACAGAGAGTGTTTGAAATAAAGTTAAAAGTGAGTGATGAGGGAAAAAAAAAACTCATTCGCAGTGTCGCTCCTGAATGTCACTATGCATTTCAGCTTTTTTTCCAAAAAATGTCCTTGTTAGATGATAATTAGCTATTTTTAACCTGAAAGCAAACATGTTACTGCGGAATTCTCATAGCGCCTGAAGACATCGACCAGACGTCTGCAGGGTAAAGCAGAGCTGATTCCAAGGTGAAGTTGATTCCAGCTCCCATCTAGCAGGAGTAACAGAGGGCTCAGCACACCTGCAGACGGCGTTTGCGGATCTCAAACAGCTTGACGGCCGGCGATGTTTACCGGCCTTGAATACGGGACGCGAGAGACGAGAGAGAGTGCGGACACTCTGATGACCAAGCTGTTCCTCAGGGCTGGCATAATCTCCAAGCTGGCGCAGAACTGCAGAACTCCAGAAATTCTCCGTACCCCCACGCCCCCCATCCTCTGCCCAAACTACAGCAGCAGTCTTAATTGTCATAGAATCATTGGAGCCAGGTAATAACTGCTGTTACGTTGTGTACAGGGTTGTCAGCACAGGGTAATCACCTGGCTAAATGCCTGACAGAGGGAGCTCACGCTTTACCAGTATTGTTTCCTCATTTAGACCCTGCTAGATGCTGCTCTGCTGTGCTGGTGAGCAGGTGCCCGATTACAGGAGTGTTGCATCTCTTACAGCTGTGAGGCTCTGCACGCGGCAGGCGCTTATGCAACAGCCCGGCTCGGCTACTCTGGCCCATTTATAAGCCGTTCCAGGTTTTTTCCAGGAGCCTCCTTGAGGCTGTGTGTG